TCTTTTTCGTCGCGTTGTGATGACGTCACATACGCGATTTTGTCGACCGCGCTTTTGTGGAATGTGGTTTTGACGGGTCACGCAACAACTGATGCATCCACAAACTTACTTCCACAATTACAGTGTTCCAATGGACTTTGAACTGCATTAAATTACCAATAGTCTTTACATAGGACCTGAATGAAATCTCACATGATGAATTAATCTAGGGCTGTCAAACTGGTAGCCCATGAGCGAAATGCGTCCCATGCAGGCTCTGAATGAAGGGGGGAAACGTTGCAATATATCACATGATGGCAACATGATGCCGCAGGTTTGACACCCGTGAACTAACAGATCTCATGAAGAAAAATGGAATGGAATCGGCACCGTACTTACTGCAAAGTAATACATTTTAAAATAACAAAACCCCGAATGAATGATTTCGTTAATTTAACTCTCGCATTTTCTCCCGGAAGAATAATAAATCTGGGGAGTGACATTTTTTATCAGTTGTGTTTTGTCCAATGCAAATCCTTGACCTTCACGGAGAAAAAAAAATCTTGGAACGGATATATCATATGTTAAAACTGCAGTAAATTAATATTTATACCAGGAAATTAATTTTGTGGATTTCAGATATTTACTTAACAAAGGCATAACTGCATATTTTGCATCTCCACAAGGTTTAAATCCAAACAGACATGCACACAAGCAGCTTTTATTTCCATTTATGCAGGCATAAATTCAGAGAAATATCTCAAAGTCTATGGATACCATTCCAGATTTATATTGGCAGGGAGTAGGGAGCAAGAATGTATATTAAAAGTAGAACAGGCTGTTTAGAAGACAGCTGGAAAAATCGCAAAATAATTAATGCAAATATTTCATAAATCTGGAATAAAACCTGAAGTATCTTGGTAACCTAATATATTCTGCAGCCCCTTCTATTTATGCACTGCTCTACTGCTTTGAAAATGAATGAATAAAGTTGATAGCTGAATAGAGCAGGTCAAGGAAAGAGTACCTTCGAGACCGCCTACTGCCACATACCTCCCAGCGACCAGTAAGATCCCACAGATTGGGCCCCCTTCAGATGCTGTCAGCCAGACAGTGTCAGCTGGCGGGCCCCCGGAGGAGAGCCTTCTCTGTGGCTGCTCCAACCCTTTTGAATCAGCTACCCCCAGAGAACCGGAACATACCC